TTCGAACCCGGGCTCAGACATATTTTAATTTCATATTTCCTTTTCCCTTTTTTGTTTTGGTTGCCAGTCAAATTGGAAACAGAGGCAAATGAAGAACCTTTGTGGTAACAAACTTTTTATATGTTGACGGTCGAGAAAGATGATCATAAACTGTCGCAAAAATACGTTACTTTAATTAGAATTAGTAAGAATTTTTTTAAGGTTTAAATTAAATAATTTAAGTTGTGTATTTGTGGTTTTTCTTTTTAAAAAAATCACACACTCGTTGAAGAATGAAGGTCATTAAGCTTGCTTATCGAGATATTCATCATTTGATCTAAGATAATTAAGTGACGATGTGAACTTCAGTTTCATACATGCACATGAATTCAACTTGCATAGGTGAGGCGGGTCTACAGATATTTAAATTTTTTTCGGATAGTCCATACCATGGCTTATCCCTTGAAAATCATTATTTAGAATGGAACGTGTCGTGAATTAGAATTCTCTAAGCACAATTAGAATTCTCTAAGCATAGTACATCCAAAATCAAGTTGGACATCGATTTCATCTTCGACAAGCTCAGTTTACATCATTCTAAATTCATGCCTTGAAGGTCGTTGTTGCGAGCATGAACAGACAACACTGATGTGTATTCAAAATTTGGTTATTTTTTCTTATTTCTTGGGATTTTTTTGAATTTTTAATTCTAACTGAATAGTCACCATTGGTAGGGTACGACTTTTTGATTGAAAACACTTTTTCTTTTATAATATAGCATTATAATGTTCTTTTGTCCCCTTCATTATCTTGCATATGGAAGTGTTCATTTGCATATTCTCTCTTTTCTAAACTTGTTCATGCTTTTTTATTTTCAAAAGACATGGTATAAACATCAAGAGTAGACCTCTAAAAATCTTTAATATTCAGGTTGTCTTCATGGACGCACGACAAAAGCGACATTAGGATTTGTATTTGTATCCTGAATGCATCATGATACTGGTGGGGGGACAATTAAATTTGTAAGGAAAGTGCTAACACGTACCATGAATTCGAGTTTGATTGAGATTTCTACATCTTCCAACTTATTCCTCTACTTTTTTTCTTGTATTATTTTGAAGACTTCATTCGTGTTACTTGAAGATATACTATGAAACATAATATAGACATTGACTAAGAATTCATTCTAAAGGAATAGAGACGCATTAAGTAATAGTTGCCGGACGCACAACATTACTCAGAAACTGGGGCAGATGCAGACATTTTGAGTTGAACGGGCGCAATCAAACCCTGTACAAATCGAATACTTGATTTTTGAATGATTCATACTTGATCCGAGATAATGCAGATTTACATTTAAAAAATATTTTTTCATTAATATTTTGTTAATCATTTTTATCCATTTGATTTC